GATGGGCTTCCCTTTATTGGGTGACCTAGCCTTTCTCTCTGGTTGCCTTTAACATTTTTTCTTTCATTGCAACTTTGGAGAATCTGATGATTATGTGTCTCAAGGTTGATCTCATGGAGTATCTTACTGGGGTTCTCTAGATTTCCCGAATTTGAATGTTGGCCTGTTTGCTCAGTTGGGGAGGTTCTACTGGATGATATTCTGATGTATGTTTTCCAACTTGATTCCTTTCTCCCTGTCTCTTTCAGATATCCCAGTGAGTCACAGGTTTACTCTTTTTGTATAATCCCATATTTCTTGGAGGTTTTATTCATTCCTTTTCATTCTTTTCTCTCTAATCTCATCTGCCTGTCTTATTTCATTTGAAAGACAGTTTTCAAGCTCTGAGATTCTTTCTTCTGCTGAGTCTATTCTGCTACTAATGTTTGTGATTGCATTTTGAAGTTCTTGTAGTGCGATTTTCAGCTCTATCAGGTTAGTTACGTTCCTCTCTGAATCAGCTATTTTGTCTGTCAGCTTCTATATTGTTTTATCATGATTCTTAGCTTCCTTGCACTGGGTTACAACGTGGTCCTTCAGCTCAGCAAAGCTTGTTTTTATCCACGTTCTAAAGCCCACTTCTGTCGTTGCAGCCATCTCAGCATCAGCTCAGTTCTGAACCCTTGCTGGAGAGGTGATGCGGTCCTCTGGAGGACAGGGGGCACTCTAGCTTTTTGAGTTTTTAGTATTCTTGCGCTGATTCTTTCTCATCTTTGTGGGCTTACCTGCCTTTGATCTTTGATATTGCTGGCTTTTAGATGGGGTTTTCGTTGTTTGTTTCTCTTTTAAGAGTCTGGGTACTCTTCCATAGGGCTGCTGCAGTTTGCTGGGGATCTGCTCCAAACCCTAGTTGCCTCAATTTTCTCAAAACCAGGAGGTATCACCAGTGAAGGCCACAAAACAGCAAAGATGTCAGCTTGCCCCTTCCTCTGGAAGCTCTGTTCTAGTGGGGTACTGACTTGTTCCAGCCCAAATACGCCTGTAGGAAATGGCTTGATACCATTTCGGTGGTTCCTCCTCACCCAGTTAGGAGGAACAGGGTCAGGGACCTGCTTCAAGAAGCAGCCTGGCTATGTTGGTAGAGCAGCCGTGCTGTGTTGGGGATCGCTTCAGCTCCCAGTCAGTTTGGCCTCTCCAAGGCCTGCAGGCTGGCCCAGCTGGGATGTAGGAACAGCAATGGTGGTAGCCCACTCCACTCCTCAGGCACTCTATTCTAGGGAGAAATTAGAACTCTGTCAGCCATAGAACATGGGCGGGGGTAGCCAGAGGCCCCAGCTGGGAGGGCCTGCTCAATGAGTAGGAATGGATTGGGATCCCATTTTAAAAAGTGGTCTGATCACACCTCAACAAGTAGCACCTCTGCTCCAGTCAGCTTGGACTCTCCAAAGCCTGAAGGCTGGGACGGCTGGGTCATTCAAACAAAGGTGGCAGCCTGCCTCTCCGCGCCCCCGCCCCCCACCCAGGCACTCCATCCCAGGGAAAGATCAGAGCTCTGTCTGCAGAATATGGGTGGGGATGGCTGGAGACCCTGGCTTGGAGGTCCTGCACGGTGAAGAGGAATGGATCAGGGTCCCACTTCAAGAAAAAGTCTGGCTGTGTACTGATAAAACAACTGTGCTGTGCTGGGGATTCCTTCCTAGTCAGGGCTGTTTGGACTCTCCAAAGCTTGCAGACTGAAATGGCTGAGTTATCCGAATAACAAAGGTGGCATCCTTTTCCTCTCAGGGTCACTCTATTCCAAGAGAGATCAGAGCTCTCTCTATACAGTGAGGGCAGGCAGAGGTGGCTGGAGGCCCTGGCTGAGAGGTCCTGCCCAATGAGGAGGAATGGATCGGGTTCCCACTTAACAAAGCAGCCTGGTCATATTTTGGTAAAGTAGCTGTGCTGTGTTGGAGGTTCCCTTCCTTGTCAAGACTGTTTGGATTCTCCGAAGCCCACAGGCTGGAATGACTGAGTTGTCCAAACAACAGCAACCGGGTGTTCCAGGTTCTGGCCTCCCCTGCCCCAGGAATGAGGGAAGAGGCCCTGGAGGCGCAGTGGGCTTACCGTTTCTATAAATATTACGGACCCAAAGAGTTTTGCAGAGAGCAATTTATTTGGCAGAGAGTGAGAAGTAGAGAGAGAACTCTCATGCTGTTGTGGGAGGGGATTCCAGAGAGGGAAATCTGCACAGGTAGAGAGGGAGAGACAGCTCCTACATTGCTATGGGGCAGGGGATCTGAAGAAGGAGTCCGCACAGGTAAGGGGCATGGAGTTTTAACTTTGAAGTTATTCCCACCCCGTTCATGTTCTTGTCCGATGAGAGGAGTTCTTTTAAACTTCCTCTGGAGTGATTGATTTTTGACTCTGATGCTGGATTGTCTGTTGGGCCCAGAACAGAGGACCTTTCTCACAGAGTTTCTTGCAGGCTTTTTTTTTTTTTTTTTTCAAACAAAGGAGCACACCTGAAATTTTAGCTAGCCCTTGAGGGAAAGTTAGACAAAGAAATCTAGGTTCCCGGAGAGGGAGGTGGATGGATTCACAGCTGCTATAGAAAAGCCAAAATATAGGGCAGGTTATTTGAAGAATATTATTTGTTTTTGTGTTTTACCAAACTAGTTCTCAGAGAAAGGGAGTTACTTAATGCTGTATAGACTAAATGTTTATGTACCCTCAAATTACTATGTTGAAATCCTAACTTCCAAGGTGATGGCATTAGAAGATCCAGTCTTTAGGAGGTGATTAGGTCATGAGGGAGGAAACCTGGACGAAACTTCATGAATGGGATTAGTGTTCTTATAAAAGAGACCCAGAGATCTCCCTCACCCCTTCTGCTCTGTAAAGACACAATGAGAAGACTGCCACTATGAATGAGGAAGCAGGTCCTCACCAGAGACTGAATCTGCTGGCACCTTGATTTTGGAGTTCCCAACCTCCAGAACTGTGATAAACAAATGTTCATTGTTTACAAGGCACTCACTCTATGATATTCTGCTGTGGCAGCCCAAATGGACTAAGACACTTAATAACCACGTCTTCTCCAAGACTCTTGTGTGATGGAAGTATTCTTCCAATTATTCTATTTTAAATACAAATTATTTAGGAAAGACAAATTAGCCTGAAAAGACGTCAATTAGAGCGATGTTGGAAATCTTAAAAGGTCTTCTAACTGAGCAAATAACAGAGACAAAGACTTTTAGTACAGATTTGGTAATTACTCTTCCATTAGGACTTTCAAATTGCAGTGTTGGGATATGGATAGAAACAAGATTATTAAGATCCGTTTTTTTATAAAGCAATTCACGTTTGCTTTGTGGAGATAACAAATGTGTATCTTATAGGGCAATGAAAAACAATTTTTCTACTGTTTCACAATTGGCTGCTTTGTTTTTGAATAAAATTCACAATTATAGTATCATATGCCAATTCAAAGGTATTTTATCTTTTTTTTTTTCTTTGAGACGGAGTTTTGCTCTTGTTACCCAGGCTGGAGTTCAGTGGCGCGATCTCGGCTCACCGCAACCTCCTCCTCCTGGGTTCAGGCAATTCTCCTGCCTCAGCCTCCCGAGTAGCTAGGATTACAGGCACGCGCCACCATGCCCAGCTAATTTTTTGTATTTTTAGTAGAGATGGGGTTTTCACCATGTTGACTAGGATGGTCTCGATCTCTTGACCTCATGATCCACCCGCCTCAGCCTCCCAAAGTACTGGCATGAGCCACCGCGCCTGGCCCCAGGTATTTTATCTTAAAAGTTGTTTTATCTCAAAATACTACAAATTGGATAAAATTAGATGGTTCCAATAGTGGCTCTTCCAATAATGAAGACTCCTATGTGAAGATATCAGTGAAGAATTTGAGTAAAAATATTTCTGAAATGAGAATATTTCAAAATTGACACAGTTTCGTAATATTATTTCAATATTATTGTATAACCAGATTCATATTAACTAGCTGAAGTAAACATTGACTATTTTGTTAACATCCATTATGCTCATATATTCATGCTGACCAAAAAGCTTTTTTGAAACTAGAGAACCAGCTCATATTTAGGATTGCCTCTTAATCAGCATATATATTATTTAAAAAGATTAGCTTTCAGTAATTATCCTTGAGGTCAGATCCATAAATAGCATAGTCTGTGTTTATACTAAATTGCTTTCTTTTCCCTTTGTATTATTGTGTGAGAACTAATATACTAATACAGATTTTCATGGAGCAAATGCATCATCAATGTAGTTAATTTTTGAACGCAAGCAACCCAATACAGTACCGTATACACAAAGGCCCGTTTAACAAAGATCTCCCTGAAGTCATTTGGTGGGTCTTACTTAAAGTGCATCACAAAGGATTTATGGGATCTTTGGCAAAGAAAGGTTTCTTCTCAATCCGTGGGGTGAGGACAGCCAGAAAAGTAAATGCTAGAAGACCCTGATCAGAACCGCTATCTGGAAAGGACCAGATCTGCTCACTGTATTGTATTGGAAAAGAACTACAGCGCACCCACCTGTGCAAACTCAGGTCATACCATAAGCTGTCTGTGTGTTAACTTTTTTATGCTGAATTAGATGATTATGCTTTTTATGCATTTTAATTAAAATATTGTTATATCTCTATTATAATGAAACTAAGGAAAATATAGTTTCTTTTCTTTTTCAATGTAATGTTAACATTTAAAACAAAAATTTGTATTTTGGCTTATAGGCAGTGACTATGTCTACATAATTTATTTGTCCAATTCTTTTTTTTTTTTTTTGAGATGGAGTCTTGCTCTGTCACCCAGGCTGGAGTGGCATGATCTCGGCTCACTGCTGCCTATACCTTCCAGATTTAAGCAATTCTCCTGCCTCAGCCTCCCAAGTAGCTCGGATTACAGACATGCACCACTTCACCTGGCTAATTTTTTTGTATTTTTAGTAGAGACATGGTTTCACCATATTGGCCAGGCTGGTCTCCAACTCCTGACCTCAGGTGATCCACCTACCTTGGCCTCCCAAAGTGCTGGGATTGCAGGCATGAGCCACCGTGCCCAGCCAATTTGTCTAATTCTTGGCTTCTTGTTTCCTAGAACAATCATAAATGCACTATTACTCTTTCTCCACGGTGTCCAAAGTCTTAGGAATAGCAGATGGTCAGCAGCTTTGTGTGGAAAGACAAAAGCAATTACTCATTTCTGAAAACAAAGGGAAGTATGTTTTCTATTTTCACTAAATGTGACTGGTGATTTACTAATTAAATTTCACTTAGATAACATTAGACAATAATTTATTATTCAAAATAAGTAGATATCATTATTCCTCTTTGAAATGAAGAATCAAATTGAAATTGAATAACTGTCCTGAATGAGGATGACTTTTCAAAAAGGCCTAAGATCTCTTTAGAATTGGTATAAGGAACATGAATTAGTATGACCGTTGGTTAGGACAATTAAAGAATGTTTCAGGATTAATTAGATATGAAGCTTAGTCTTTGCAGCTATTCTGAATCTTAGTGATATTCTGCTGATACCATTTGTTGAAATATGCCACCCACTTCAACTCTTATTGGTCTCACTGATAGACTGAGTGCTGACAGCACTATTTAATTCTGTGTTATTACTCAAGTGAGTCTAAGGATTGTAAGACTTTTGTGGAAATTATATAATTATCCTTCAAGCTCTGGGTAGGTGAATCTTTTACCTTATGGGAACATGCACTCTTCAACAATGAAAATATTTAAAAGGTGGTTAAAGTTTAATAAAACTGTCCAGTCAATGAGATGAGTGTCTTTAGAGATAATTTCCCTTGCCAGATTTTTGAAGTAATTTAAAATTTATTTTCTTTTTTTTGAGACGGAGTTTCGCTCTTGTTACCCAGGCTGGAGTGCAATGGCACGATCTTGGCTCACCGCAACCTCTGCCTCCTGGGTTCAGGCAATTCTCCTGCCTCAGCCTCCTGGGTAGCTGGGATTACAGGCACGCGCCACCATGCCCAGCTAATTTTTTTTGTATTTTTAGGAGAGATGGGGTTTCACCATGTTGGCCAGGATGGTCTCGATCTCTTGACCTTGTGATCCACCCGCCTTGACCTCCCAAAGTGCAGGGATTACAGGCTTGAGCCACCGCGCCCGGCCTAAAATTTATTTTCGAATATTTATCTGCAAAGCCTTTTCAGATCCACTTACATCAAGGAGATACCATGGAAACTCCAAGAAAAATAGATTCAAATATTTGGAGGCTTCAGGGATTTTGTTGTTATTTGCTTTGGGGGCAAAGAAAAGCATTCTAGAAAAGGCAGCAAATTACAAAAGTAACGTATTATCTAAATTTGCTTTGAAAAGAAAATAAAAAGGGTATGTCGTGCTGTTTTGATGATTATCTCTCTTAATTACATGGTCTTCTGGAATTCCAATGCCATATTATAAACAGGGAGAGTAGCTGACAAAACACGTGTATTTGGGATAAACCACTGCTCAAATAAAGCTGATAGTATCTCTCTCACTTTTGTTTTTAACAATGATTAGATGAACGTGCTTGTTATTGAATTTAACAAAAAAATCATGTTTACCTACTAATACCCAGAATAAGGGAGACAAGATGGCTAAGACAGTCTGCCTCTGGCAATAGGGCAGTCGGGTTTTGTTTTTAAAGTTTCCTGCAACCAAACACTTAGATACCAGACAAATTTCACAAAAGTCATTTTAAGCATGTAGTAGACATTGTACAAGAGTAAGCGAATACCTAGGGGTCTTACATAAAGAGGGGATTAAAGAGCTAGTCTAGTTCTGAAGCCTCCACTGACCTCAAGGTATTTGATTAGCAAAAGCTAGAGCTTTGTTTCCTTAATTCTTCTTCTTCTTGTTCTATAGAATTGATTTATCACCAAGCACCCTGAAAGTCTAGTTTCAGTTTTCATGTTTACAGACAAAGAGCTTTTCTCCCTGATATTAGAATCTCCCTCAACTCCCCGGGAGTTCTACATATGCTCAAGTGCAGAGGCTGGCTCGTGGGACTCTGCTCATAGCTTCCCTCTGGACCCATAGGGATGAGTTAGTGGTTCCCCAATGTAAATCTAAACAAGATATTCCTGGAGATGTTTTTGGTACATCTGTTGCTGGACTCTGTCATGGAAACTGATGGAGAACTCCTAGAGAGTTATAAATATTTGACAAAATATTTATACAGAAAGTAGCTAGTTTTCTTCCATTTAATAGCAGTCTTTAAAAATAAGGTCTGCCATCTAACAGGTGACATACCCTTCACCAAACTACTGAAAAGAACTGAATTTGTATGAAACATTACAAATTAAGATATGAGATGTGGGTTGTGCTAAATGGCTTTTAAGGAATAACCCGCTCCTTTAGTCTAAGTATTTTTCAAGGAAGATACATGTTGGCCAAACACAGCTTAAACAGTTCTGCTGTGGACTAATTTCAGTGTATTAATACATGTTCATACTCATGCATCATTGCCAACTTTCTTTAACAATATAAGAAGATACATGTTTTACAGTGCTAACCCAACACTTCAATTTAAGCAATGATATTTATTACTAATGGTCAAACTGTACAATCTGTCTTATGACTATCATATCCATATTACCCTATTATAAACCTCTTCCCAATTACTTTCATCATGTACGAAATAGTTTTTATTTTTGTTCTTTACCAAAAAATGCTATGAAAATACAACCTGACTTCATGTGGTTTTAAAATCACAACTTCTGATTTATTTCTATATTTAATATAAGATTGTCTAGGAGTTATTCCATGTCGAAGACTTTAGTTCCTTTTAGTGATATGGCATCCACTGAAACACTGACTATTCCTACGCAAAAACACCTCAAATACAGCAAAAACAGCCTTGAATTGTAATGACTATTCTGGAGCAAAAAGGAAAAAGACTTTTGGCCTGAACAAAGCTGAGTTAGATTCCAGGCCTCAACAAACATTAGTACACTCAAAGGACTCTACTCTTTTGCTCTGGGTAGAAAAGAAGAATAAAAACTGCAAACTCTCACCTGAGAATCTTTACTTATTTATTTTTATTTTTTTGAGACTGAGTCTTGCTCTGTTGCCCAGGATGGAGTGCAGTGGTGCAATCTCTGCTCACTGCAACCTCCACCTCCTGGGTTCAAGCAATTCTCCTGCCTCACCCTTCCAAGTAGCTGGGATTATAGGCACCCACCGCCATGCCTGGCTAATTTTTGTATTTTTAGTAGAGACAAGGTTTCTCCATGTTGGCCAGGCTGATCTCAAATTCCTGACGTCAGGCAATCCACTTGCCTCAGCCTCCCCAAATGCTGGGATTACAGGTGTGAGCCACTGCACCCCACCAGGATCTTTCATAATAACCCCCACTTGGATTTATGATTCAAATTATACCACCTGCAGCATCCAGGAAACCCTAAAAATTTTTAAAAGTACCAGATGGGTAGTATCTTGGAGTACCTGGTTAAGGCACCAAAAGATTTCAGATTTGAAATTATCAAATAGATAATAAAAAATAAATGTTATAGAAGCCAGGTGTCCATTTCAATGCGATTCCTCCAAAGGTATCAAAAATATGAAGAGCTCATAGTCAAGGACCAGAAGGTTTCAGAAAGGAACCAACCGTGTAACTTCTAAAACTGAAAATACTATCACTGAAATCAATTCAGTAGATGGGCTAAACAGCAGAATAGACACAGTTGAAGAGCAATTTATTGAAAGCAAAGACAGAACTGAAGAAATTACACACATAACAGGATAAAGAGGCAAAAAGACAGAAATCATAAAAGAGAGATTAAGAATCATGGAGGATAGAACAAGATAATTTGATATAACTTGGAGTTCCTGAAAGAGGGCACGAATAGAATAGGGAAGAGACAATATTTCAAAATATAAGAGTTAAGCCACTGAATTTACAGCGGTGAATTTTATGTTATGTGAATTTCCAGGATGGATTAAAGGCATCCATCCTTTAGACTCGGGAAGCACAACAAATTCCAAGTAGGATGAATAAAAAGAAATGTACTACTCAGACACCAGCTGGGACAGCCAAGGCAGTGCTAGCATCACCCTTCCCCTCACCCCAGGCTGCACAGCTTGTAGCTCCAAAAGAGACCCCCCTTCCTTTGCTTGAGGAGAGGAGAGGGAAGGGTGGGGTGGACTTTGTTTTGCATCTTGGATACCAGCTAAGCCACAGCAGGATAGGGAACCAGACAGAATCGTGAGGTCCTCGTTCCAGGCCCTAGCTCCAGGACAACATTTCTAGGCAAACCTTGGGCCAGAAGGGAACTTGCTGCCTTGAAGGAAAGGAGCCAGTCCTGGCAGCATTCATCACCTGCTAACTGAAGAGCCCTTGGTTCCTGAATAACTGACAATGATACCCAGATACTACATCAAGGGCCTTGGGTGAGCCTTGGAGATATGCTGGCTTCAGGCGCCAGCATGGGCACAGCAGGGAAGAGACCAAGTGGGCTCTTGAGGTCCCCAATTCCAGGACTTGATTCTTGGAAGGCACTTCTGGAGGTGCTCTGGGCAAGAGGGAAGCCCACTGCCCTAAAGAGTGAGTCCTGGGCCAGGCAGCATTCACCACAAGCTGACTTAAGAGCCCTTGGGCCTTAAGGAAACATTGGCTGGTAGTCTAACAGGACTCCTCATGGCCTGTGGTGATGGTGGCTACTGGGCGAGGCTACTCTGCCTTTGGAAAAGGGAAGGAAGAATGGGAAGAACTGTGTCTTGTGGTTTGAGTGCCAGCTCAACCATAATACAATAGAGCAGCAGGTAGACTTCCAAGATTTTTGACTCTAGTCCCTGACTTCTGGATGGTACCTCTGAATCCACTTGGGGCCAAGGGACCTCACTGCCCTGAAGGGAAGGACAAAGGCCTGGCAGGCTTTGCTACCTGCTGATTATAGAGCCTCAGAGCCTCCAGTGAACATAGGCAGAAGCCAAGGAGTCATTACAGCAGGCTGTGGGTGAGACCCAGCTTCACGTCTGACCCAGTGCAGTCATAGTGAGGATAGCCACAGGGGTGCTTGTGTCACTCAACCCTAGCTTTAGGTGGCTCAGAACACACACACACACACACACACACACACACAGAGAGAGAGAGAGAGAGAGAGAGAGAGAGACTCTGTTT